TTTTCACCCCACCTTCACCCCCCCCATGCCTTTTTCTTTTCTCAGTTGCTTTTAAATATGTTGCTTGGTCACAGTTAATGAATGATGACTGAACACACCCTTTCTAAGTTAGTAATCTGCAAATAGAAGATTGGTAGCTTCTTTGTGGTAAGAAATCATCAATACTTATTATTTCAAATCTCTTTAGATGAACTCTTTAGGAATTCAGATCTCTTTACCAGCAAGGAAGAAACATCCCTCTTTCCTTGTATCTCTTTTATCTTGTGTGTCTGTAATAATCACTAGGGAATAGCACTGGAGCACTTCACACTAAAATGGTCTTGAGTAATAGATAACAGGCATATTGAGAAGCCACCAAAGGAGTTTGGCTTCTAGAAGTCTACTCAGTAGGACCAATACTGACCTGATAAAGCTCTCGGGAAAGAAAAAAAAAGGCCAGTGGCCTTATCAGAAAAGTCTTCAGATTCCCAAGGAAATAATTTGACTATTACTCTTCTTCATACTGGTAGAATCCTTCCCTAACCATATAACTACTTTCCATACACAAAAATCTCATCTCTTTTGCCTCCTTTTTTTACTTCCTGTCCCAAACTACAGCCACCCTCTCTGACCCCTTCTCCCTAGATATAGATGCAGGATTCTATATGCCCTGGTGCATTAAAAGTACTCTGGGCTTTCCAACCATATCATGGGCAGAACTTGTGCTTTTCTCAGATCATGTTTTGAAAGGACAAGTTCTTTTCAGCCAATCAGAGGTCTCTGCTGAGGGCACAAGATTGCTCTCTGACTCAGCTCAGGGCATACTTAAATTAGTTGGGTAGATGGAGCATGACTGGGTTTTCCCCAGGAGAAGGAAGTTTGTTTCTATCAACTTAACTGTTCAATTATCTGAACAGAGAGAGAGTGCAAGGTGTATGTACTTTTTTTGCCTCAGCCTGCCAAGTTGCTGGGATTATAGGTGTGCACTGGGATAATAGGTTTGCACCACTGAGCCTGGCTAAGGGGTATTCTTTTTCTTTCTGGGATTTCTTACAGCTTTCCTTTAAAAATCCAAACAGCATGTCCAATATATGTATGTAACTTTTGCTCATCTTTCAAATGCATAGCTCTTTACATCTTTCAAATACATAGCACTTCAGAAGTCAGAGATAACTTTCGATCCTGTAGATCTGGTATTTTATTTATTTATTTTATTTCAAATAAAACTGAACCTTAAGCTAGGCTGTCAAACTTTAATTTTTATCTTAATAAAATGGAATAGGAATTATATTCCTAAGACTGCTATGTAGAGGGTGGCTGGTGGTGGCTCAAACAGAGAGGCTGATGGCATTCTAAAGCATTTGCACATACTTTATCTGCTGTTTGCACCACTCATGCCCACCCCACTGCATGTGGTTCAAGTTCTTAGTTTATCATCAATTCCAGCAAGCCTTTCCAGAGCCCACATCTTAGAACCATCCATGCCCCTCTTTTGTGCTCTCATGGAGCTGGGTGTTACCTCTATCATTCTATATTGTGGGTATTCATTTACTTGTCTCAAGTTTCATGTAAACGGTAAGCCCCAAGTTTCTCTTGCTTGTTGTTACAGAACCCAAAGCAATGCCAGCACTTAGCTGTCACTCAACATTTTCTGAATAAATTCAGCAAAGTTAAATGCAGCCAATGACTGGGAATCTTCAAGGTTATAGTGAGAATTGATATCTTTGCCAGGAACAGTTTAGCAAGGGAGCCTAGAATCCATGCATGAAGTCCGGCTTTTGTGAATGGTATTTGGGACCAACGACCCACACTTAGCATCTAAAACAACCCACATTTGCTATTTCACATTTCTATAGGTCAAAAGTCTGATTCTGACACAAGTAATAGAGCTATCATCTAAGTGTGGTGGGCAGCATTCCTTTGCAGAGGCTCTAGGGGAGACACCATTGTCTTGCTTGTTGGAGGTATTGCTAGAATTTAGTTTCCTTACAGTGATAGGACTGATGTCCCCTTTTCATGCTGCTGACAGCTAAGTGTTGTTTGCAACTTCTAAGGGCTGCCCATACCTGTTGGCTCCTGGCTTGCTACCTCCAGGTTCAAAGTCCCCAGGAATGTGTAGAATTACTCTCACACTTTGTACCTTTCCTGCTCCTTTTTAAATAATTGCTTGTGCAACTGTAACTTCCTAATGCAACACATTAACCATAATGTGATATATTCATGATCACAGCAGCAGGATGCAAATCATGGGGTCCCCATTCTGGCCTGTCACACACTTACTGCCTCAGAATTTCTTTTATCACCCGGCAAGGACAAGGAAATTCATTTTCTATAATAGAAAACTTAATGACTCCTCTGTCACTATACACATTTTTGTAGAGGAAGTGAACATAATTGACTTTTTCAAAAACAAAGACCACACCGCTAGTTTTTATTTCAGGATAGCAATATCTTAATGGAGAAGACAGAGAAGGAGAAAACAGATCCCAGAGAAAATTCTCTAAAAAGAATCCATCTCTGCCTACAAAAAAAAAAAAAAAAAAAAATCTTCCATTTTGATGCAATTCTGATATTCCTGGGCTACTTTTCAAATTTTCTAGTAGTGTACTGGCCTTTACATTTTTCTTCTCAGAAACTTACGATTGACCATTTCTTTGCCCATACTCATTGTGACTGTCACTTATTTTCTGACTATGTAGTTTATTATACTGTCCTAGAGCTGCCTTTTCTCCTGGAAAATGATGCTGTTGCTGTGATAAGTTTGAAACAAGCTATTGCTCTTTCCCTCAACTGTTTTTTTTTTTCTTTTTCTTATGCTACTGGGGAGTAAACCCAGGGGTGCTATACCACATCCTCATCCCTCTTTCTTTTGAGACAGGGTCTCACTAATTTGCCCAGGTTGGTTGAACTTAAGATCTTTTGGGGATTGCAGGTATGTGTCACCATGCCCGGCCACTGTGGTTTTTTTTCAAATTAGAAAATACTAGTATGGGAATACATTAAGATTAAATCAGTTCTACATTTAGTGTTTACAACAGAGTTTGGCATAGCAGTGTGGTTTGAGTAAGTGTCCTCAAAGGCCCTTGTGTTAAGAACTTGGTCAACAACCCAGGGTGCTATCAGGACATGGTGGAACCTTTAAGACACAGAGCCCGGGGGAGGAAGTTAGGTCACAGGGCAGGGTGAGGGATACTGGAACCCCAGCCCCTTCCTCTCTGTTTCCTGTCTACCATGAGATGAGCAGCTTCCTCTGCTCTGTGCTCCCACCATGATGGATTGTTTTGCCAACGGGCCCAAAGCAATGAGTCAATCTATCATGGACTAAAATCTCCAAAACTGTGAGCCAAAATAAACCTTTCCTCTTTTTTGGTTGATTATCTCAGTTATTTTGTTAGAGTGACATAAATATGACTACCTCACATAATAACCTAAACTCACTGATAAAAATTCTTCAGATTATTAAGAAGCATTCACTATTGTCACACTTATCAACTACAGACCACATTCTGCATACCAGGAAATATCAGGAGGGCGATTCTGATTCCTTATGGCAAGACTGAATCACAAAATCAGGCATAAGATTTCCTAATGTCATGAAACCTATTTACAGCCAAGGTGGTCACAGGTCAACACACAGTAGTTTCTCAATCATGTTTGTTTACTCTACCTGTGACCTCAGGGAAGTTCCCAATATGCTACCCAACAAATTACTCCTCTGTCTACAACAAATTTTTACCAGGAGGTTGGCTGACCAGAGCAACATCAGGGATTAATTGTGCTCACAGTATCCTAATGTTATAGGCTGATTTCACTCATTTTCTTTTTAAAACTTTTACATCTCCTTTGAAAAAATTGAAAACAGATGCGATATTCCCAGGTCTGAATTCCCAACTTGACAGTTTTAAAAAATACATATTTTAACTCATTGTAAAATCAAGGAAAAAAAAGAAAAATATTATGAACTTAATTGGACAATACATTGTGGCATAATATGCCTTTATAAATATGACCTTAGATTTTTGAGAGGAAATGAACCAAGAGAAACATGGGTATTAATTAGTTTCCTTTTAGGCTGTACAATAACTTAAGAGTTCATTGACATCTCTCTATATAAGACATAAAGATCATTATCACACACCAAATTTTGCTATTATCGGTATGATTTGTCAATTTCTTAAGTAGCACTACATCCATGTAAATTGATTTCAAATCTTTGTGTCCTTAAATGAGTCCTGAAAGTGAACCATAGGTTCTCACTAATGACCTTTCTTTCTACTAATTATTTTCTTTTCTGATTCCCCCTCCCTTCTCAGATACTTAGTAATAAGGTCCTTGGTCATGTTCTAGGATTAATTCTTACTATAGTGGCCATGTTTTGTTTCAATGGACTGAACTCATCAATTGTTATTGCACCCAGGAAAGAAAAACGAAAATGATTTCGCTACTCATGTTCTTGAAGCTCAACTAAGGGAAATCAATAGCTTCCTAGGTTCAGTGGTGCTAATAACCCCAGCCATACCCTTCCAGTACATCTTGATCTTGTTTTCTCCATGAACCATTCCAGTGATTTAAAATGCTAAAGTAGGGTCTCTATTTCAGTCACATTTGTCTTTCACAGGTTCTGCATAAATACAGCCCCTTTAAAACGACTCCCATGAAGTGAGAAAGCACACAGCAGCTCAGTCATTTCGTACACCTTGCATAGGATCATTACTCAGCAAAGCACTAATGCAGAGAAGTGCTGAGTGGATGAATACAAAGGAGCCAACTGATGAGCACAGCAAAGCAGGCTGTGCAAAAACCAATATCCATGCACACCTTGCTCAAGGCGCTTAAAATCCCCTCCAGTCTGCCCACTGTACGTTCCTGGTTGGCCATCTCAGCTGCCCTGCTACTAGATAGACTAATGTGGGGCAAGCAGACAGCTAATGAATTGCAAAGAGAATAGAGGACGTTTGTATGGGCATACTTTAGAAAAAGGTTTTGGGGTAATGATTGTAGTTTGGGATGGTGAATAATAAAGATGAAGCAATTTAACTTTAAATAATAACGTTTTCACAATTAACTTTACTAATCTTATCTACTGTCACAAACTTGGTGAAATTGTTGCTGCTAAGAGTATAACTGTCCTTGTCTTTGAGGTGGGTAAACATACTCATTCAGGGAAATGTGACGGGCCTTATCCAAGATCACACGCCAGTAAATGACAGAACTCAGGACTCATTCTCCTGTCTCTGACGCCAGCTTCTGTGGCTTTTCCATCATACCAGGACCCCTCTTGCTAATGGTAAGTGAGGTCTGCTTCTGTCCAGTGAGAGAAATGGTTTGTCTCAGTTTTTCATTTCCTCCTGGTTATCTTGTCTATTAGCTGTGTTAAATCGTATTTGGCAGCACTTGGTCCTGTCTGCCTTTGTCCCACCTTCCCCCTCCTAAAAAGTGACCAAAGTGTCAAGTACGAGTGGATCTCAGTTTTACTATCTTGTTCTTGTGTGACCTTTGATTTCTCTTACTTTGAGAGTAAGAAAGTAAAACGTCAGTGCTTTGTGATGTGCACCATCTGAACTTCTCTCCCCTTCTTGCCACCAAATTTACATAGAAACACCAGCTTCTGGGTTAGCAAATCTTCTAACTGATGGCAGATAAAGCCATTTATCCTTCACACCCATTGTCTTGGCTCTTGTATGCGGGCTCAAGGGAAGGGCACCTCACTACTGTTTAAGCACGACCCATGTGGAATGATTCACACCCGTCTCCGCTCTGCTCTTCAGTGTGGACAAATGATGTCTACCTCACAGAAATAGCCATCAATGAGAAAGCCTCTCTTGTCTTACTTATTTTCTATATTTATGTTTCTAAGAATATTCATACATCTCCACCCAGCTTTAAAATAAGAGAAGTGCATCTTAGAGCTTCTTTTTTTTTTTTAGGCCGAGGACTAAACTCAGGACCTTGCACATGCTAGGCATGTGCTCTGCCATTGATCTAAATCCTCAACCTCAATTAGAATTTCTTAAATCTATGAGAGACCAAGGAGCCTGGGCCAGAGATAAGCAAGACCTGGAATCTGAACAACACATGCCCCCCTTGAGTCCTCTATACCCTTGCCACTTTGATGGGTAATCAGGAAAACAAGGCCTTCCTCTGTTCTTCTTGAGTTTTTAATTATTAAGGTTTTAAGAGTTTGAGTTTGTAAACTTAATTACATTTAGCCACACGAGAATTTGTTTTTCTCCAAAAAATAATTGTGATAGAAAAATCTCATCTTTCCCTTCCTGTACACTGATCTTAATAGCACTATACTTTTTGGTTATTTTTGTTGTTATTTTAGGAATTTGAGAGCAGAGGAAAGAGAAGTGGGTTTAGAGAAGTTGATCTGTCTTCTATGCTCAGAAAGCCATGAAGCTGGCTCTCTTCTAACCACAAAAGTAGATGTTGAAGACATTCATGTGGCTGAATTCCTAATTTTCTATTTTAGCTATCCAAGTGTTTGGGGAAAAAAAAGAATAAAGAACAAAACTTATCTTAATTTTCATTTTTGTTAATTTATCCCTTCCTGCACATCCAAGTCTGAAAGATGGGTTATCTACCACAGTTAAGAAAACTGATTTCTATTCATTTATATTTCAACATCATTATCAATGAAGTGCAAGATAGATAGATTGCTACTAGTAACTACTGAAAAAGATTTTTTTGGTTTTTTTTTCCTAAAATGTGTGACTAAAGTTTTTGTCATAACTACTTTTTTATATGAAGATTTGTTCCTATGAATAATTGAAAAGATGAAAAATATTTCCTATTGAAAAATATTTATTCCTTGGAAACACTATGTAAATGAAAGATGTAGCTTGTTTTTATAGAAAACATCAATGGATCATGGCTTCAAGAATCTCAGGCTCAGGGCTGGAGTTGTGACTCAGTAGTAGAGCAGTTGGCTAGCATGTGTGAGTCCTTGGGTTCGGTCCTCAGCACCACATATAAATAAGTAAAATAAAAGATCCATTTAGAACTAAAAAAAAAATATTAAAAAAGGGGGGTTGGGGCTGGGGATGTGGCTCAAGCAATAGCACACTTGCCTGGCATGCGCGGGGCGCTAGGTTTGATCCTCAGCACCACATAAAAATAAAATAAAGATGTTGTGTCTACCGAAAACTAAAAAATAAATATTAAAAAATTCAATCTCTCTTTCTTTAAACAAAAAGGGGGGGCTGGGATTGTGGCACAGTGGTAGAGCCCTTGCCTAGCATGTGTAAGGCACTGGGTTTGAGTCTCAGGACCGCATATAAATAAATAAAGATCCACTGACAAGTAGACAATAAAAAAAAAGAATCTTGGGCTCATAATAATTATCACTTATTGAATATTTGCTGTATACCAGATGAGGTAATAGGGACCAGGATTACAGAAATAAGTTAGACACAATTCTGTACTCAAAGAATTTGGGCCTAATAATAGAAATAAGTTCACACTCAATTTGGAGATAGTTGGAAACCAACTTTTAGTGCAAAATTAGGATTACCTATGATGATACTATAATAGTGTGATTAGGGCACAGGGATGGTTTGGGATAATATGCAAAGGTTCTATAGAGAAATTACCATCTCTAGAGTCAATATTAAAGTTAGGTAAAAGTAATGATACATTCTTTCAGTTCAGTTTAGGTAGAACAGAACATATGTAAATCATCTAACATAGTCACTAAAGATTAAGTAAGAAAAAGAAATGGGCTGGAGTTGTAGCTCAATAATAGAACACTTGCCTAGTGCATGTAAGGCACTGGTCTCAATCCTCAGTGCTACATAAAAATAAATAAATAAAAGAATAAGAAACAAGCCTTGCAAAAAATCAAAATAAAAAAGAAAGAAACAAGCTTTGTTAAGAATTATATGGAAGGAGAGACAACCTAACCAACAAGTACAATAATGTGTGACTGGTATTATTACAGAATACAAGAATAGAATATTATAGAATACAAGGTCCACAGAGGAGGATACTTCCCTCAGCTCTGCAGATTAGGAAGGCTTCCCGGGACAGAGATGCTTTAGCTGAATTTTAATGAATAGGAATTTCCCGTCAAGTCAGGCAAATAGGACAAAAAGGGCAGTTAATAAGAGACTACATGTGGGGAGATATTGGAGATACAAAGGATAATGTGTACTTATTGGGCACTTACTATGTGCTAGACACTGAGTGTGATGGGAAGCAATGGAGTGAAGATTGATCTTGGATAAGATATACAGCAGCCTGATAGTCCTTATAAAAAATAAATCACATCATCTCACTCATCTCACTCTCTTACTGAATAACCTTCAAATGTGGGTCTCATTTGCAAACTCATTAACTGTAGCAGGTCCTCTCAGCATGACCCACAACATCCAACATGATTAGTCCCTGACACTTTTCTACAAGCTCTTGTCTTGCAACATCCACTTATTCCATCCCTCTGACCTTCTTCCTATTTTACAGTAAAACCCCTTCTGTTTCCCCCTGGAATTTGCATTTACCATTTCCTGGAATGTTTATTCCTCAGCATTCAGGCTATGATTCAACTACTTTGAGAAGCCTTTCATTACTACCATAAGATGGTAGCCCTGCCCTGCCCAACTCTTATCCCTGACCCATCTCCTTGTTTTGCTATCTCAGTTTTTATTAATCAAACTTAAAAGTGTCTATTTATTTGATTTGAGTGTTCTGTCCCCTCTAACAAAACTCTACAGAAACAGAAACGTCTATTTTTTAAACACTGCTCTTACCTCAGTATCTAGAAGACTAGCCAATTGCCTGTTGATAAATAAATGAATAATAACCACGAAAGCGAGTAAGGTGAGCAGTGTTTGTGATCATAAGAAATGAGATTAAGGGGGCTGGGGTTGTGGCTCAATGACAGAGCACTTGCCTTGTACATGTGAGGCAATGGGTTCAATCCTCAGCACCACATGAAAATAAATAAACAAAATAAAGATATATATATATACACATACATATATGTATTCATACACACACACACATACATATATACATATATATATATAATTAAAAGGTTTTCCTGGGTGAGCAGAAGCCCAGATGGGAAACTAAACAACTAAATTGATGAAGATATAAAAATTAATCTATGAGGGAGTTCATAACCCACTTGAATCAAAGTGTGAAATATGATATGTCAAGAACTATGTAATGTTTTGAACAACCAACAATAAAAAATTTAAAAAAAAATTAATTAATCTATGAGTAATTATATTGTAAGAGATCAACACAGTAAGTGTGATTATTTATACTGAGAATGTTTGTGCAATCCTGGAATTTTATGCCAAAGGATTTAAATTTTCATCTGTATAAAATCATAAACATATTGTTTCATAAAACATGGTAGTCATGATGTGTCTTCTGATAAAGAACATCTTTCAACTGTTTAACTATCATTCCTTCAGCTACCAATGCTGCTTTGGGCTCTCTGTTACAGGATTGATGTACTCATAAGGAAAACACAGTCTGAAAGACCAATGCTAATCAGTGTAGGTAAAATATACACAATCTGAAAATATCTCACTACAGTACTTGAAGATTTTTCGACACATGTTTATACATGGTTTCTTCTTGTTTTTTTTTTTTTTTAATAAAAGAAATACCTGTGAAAAGCAAAGTTAGTTTTTTAAAGAAATCATTCTTGCTAGGCACAATGGCACGTGCCTATAATCTCAGTTACCCTGGAGGCTGAGTCAAGAGGACTGCAAATTCAAGACTAGCCTTGACAACTTAGTAAGACCCTTTCTCAAAAAAAAAAAAAAAAAAAAGAAAGAAAGCTGGGGGTTTATAGATCAGTGGTGTAGCACCTGGGGTCATTCCCTAGTAAAACACACACACACACACACACACACACACACGTCATTCTTTACCAAACATTTACATATGTAGTAATTTATTGTAAAGGTAAAATTTAATCAACATGAAAAGAAAAGTATATCAAGGTCAGCTATACCTGTATTTGTAAAAAAAATAAAGAATAACAAAATATGCAGCAACTTGATAGGACATCATCCTATAGCTTATAAAATGATACAAAATCCATACAAAGCATAAAAAGTCATGATAAAATATATATTTAAGTGAAAATAACAATATTAAAATAGCATTCATAGTACAGCAGTCCTCCCTTATCCTTGGAGGACATGTTTTAAAACCCATAGTTTTGATGTAGATCCTGAAACTGCAGATAGTAATGAACCTGATGTATGCTATGTTTTTTCTATACATACATATCTATAATAAAGTTTAATTTATAAATTAAGCACAGTAAGAGAATAGCAACAATAATAATAAAATAGAGCAATTATTAAAATGTGCTTTTTCTTTCTTCATCTTTTTTGAATAGATAATTTCTTACATAGATTTTAGCAACCTTAATATACATTTTTTTCTTTATTAAATTACAAAATTTCAGCTTTTCACTTAGAAGAAGTACTTCATGGCCTCTTTGGGGGATACTTGAATTGCAAGTATCACACTGGTTCTTCCACTTTTAGGGCCATTATTAAGTAAAATAAGGCTTACTCAAACATTAGCACTGATAGCTCAGTCAACTTAATAACCAGCCAACTACTGAGTGACTACTAGGCAGATAACATACAGGGCATGGAGATGCTGGACAAAGGATGATTCATGTCCCAGGCAGGATTGAGTAGAACAGCATGAGATATTATCATGCTACTCAGAACAGTGTATAATTTAAAACTTAGGAATTGTTTATTTCTGGAATTTTCCATCTAGTATTTTCAAACCATCATTGGCCAGTGGCAACTGAACCCTTGAAAAGCAAAACTATAAGAAAGGACTACTGTATAATATGTTGGGTCAGATTAGATTAGAATATGAGAATCTTTATCCAAATCCCATTTAGTCATTTATGCATTGTATGGCCTTGGGCGTGTCCCTTAATATTATTAAAGCTATGTTTTCTCATTTGCAAACTAAAAAGATGAATATCATTAATTCTATCCCATAGGAACAATTTTTTGTCAATTGAAATTTATTTATTATAAAAAAATGTTATTGGAATCCCCCATTAAAAATATTCATGTGAAGGGCTGGGGATATAGCTCAGTTGGTAGAGTGCCTGTCTCGCATGTAAAAGGCCCTGGGTTCAATCCCCAGCACCACTATATATATATATTCATGTGAATGTTCTCTCTTATATGTGGATGCTAACACACAAGAGTAGGAGGAGGCTAAGAATAGAAGTTTAATGAAGTAGACAAAGCAGGTGAAGGGAAGGAAGGAGGGACAAGAATAGGAAAGACAGGGAAATAAGTCTGACACAATTTTCCTATGTACATATATGAATACACCACAGTGAATCTCACCATCAAGTACAACCTCAGGACTAGGATCCTAATTAGAATAAGAAACACTCCATGTTTGTATAAATGTCAAAATATATTCTGCTGACATGAATAACTAAAAAGAACAAATTTAAAAATATGGCAAAAATATATTCATCAGATGGGGCTGGGCATGTAGCTCAGAGGC